AAAGAAAGAAAGAAAGAAAGAAAGAAAGAAAGAAAGAAAGAAAGAAAGAAAGAAAGAAAGAAAGAAAGAAAGAAAAGAGAAGAGAAGAGGACTTGCCCTGAAGCTACATAGTTGAGAGGGGCACCCACTGTCTCCTTAGGGGGCACCTCAGGCTTTCAGGGGGGCATGTCTCCCTTGGCGTGAGAGAGCTCTGTGGCCATCTGAGTCCCCAGTGCATTCTGGCATGGGGTCAGCTTGCTCAGGTTTGATTGAATGGAGCTGCCATTGTACCTAAGAGGCTGTACCTCTTAGGCATCATTACAATGATAGAGATAGTCTCATTGTACCTAAGAGGCTGTACCTCTTACGTTGTACCTCCTGCTGGCTGCCTGGAGATGAAGTGTGGACAAACTTACTGCAGCTTAGGGCAGCAGCTCCTTCTCTTTATACGCAAGTGCCACTAAGCAACTGTCAAGTCATTTGTAAATTAAGGAGGTGGAGGCTTTCCTGTCTATCAGGACAAACCAGAGAATGTTCTGGTGTTAGAGTAAAATTTTCCTCTGGACATGAGGCTGGGGCAAATGTACCATTTCTCAGAAAAAGTGGACTGGGTTGGGGGTTGGGGTGGGGAGCTGGGATGGGCTCCCTGCAAGTCAGGACAGCTAAGATGCCACTGTCCCACCCACTGTCACCCTGGCCCAACACAGCATCCAAAACAAAAGGTGCCAAAACCTTTGGGACCACCCATAGGAATCTTCTCCCTCATGTCCTTGAGATGAGGAGACAGGGAGGCCTGGTCCAGCCATGTGCCCAGAAAATACCAACTTAGAGTCCATTCCCTCTGGGTTGATGCAGGCTCTGCTCACCCTGCCTCCTGCCCTCCTACTTCAGGTAACAGCACCTGGGCTTTCCTTTGTGAAACCTACCTCTCCCCATTCAGCCTGCCTGGGCTGCAGGGTGAGCTTGTGACCTAGGTCTGGCCAATCAGAGGATGAATCCCCATTCCAGTCATGGTGATGCAGTTAGACCTGTGTATGCCTAGTGTTCCATTATTGGAACGCTAAGCATGTGTGAGTTATTTATATCTTATTGTTCAAGGTCATTGCCAAGGTCTGATTGCAAAAATCCAAAAAATTGGAACCTCAGGCATAAATGAGCCACGTATGATCAGGTGACCTAGGCCTGGCCAATCACAGAATTAATCACCATCTCAGGCATGGTGATATGCTGTACCTGAAGCCCCGGGCTTTTTGTTCACGTGGAGCCAGCAATGTGTGCCTTTTGCTTCAGCCCAAATGAGCTGGATTTCCTATCACTTGCAACCAAAAGTATCCTGACTGATATTACCTAGTGAGTCAGAGTAAAGAGGGCCAATGATAGAGATCCCAGCGCAATGTGCCCCAGCCCCACCAAGGCACCAAGGATCTGCTATCTCATGCTCCTGCCCTCCTTCCTCACCTTGGAGGAGGGGATGACTCTCGGGAGCTACAGCTCCATCCTGTTCCCCTTTGGGACAGGGTCTCTAGTAAGGCCAGCTCTGAACTGAGGCCCAGTATTGCCAAAGTCTCTCATCTGCTGCATGCCAGGCTAGGCTGGTCACTTAAAGTCCACAATCTCATCTAATCCCCTTAGGATCAGGTGTTTGTTTTTTGTTGTTGTTGTTTGTTTTGTTTTGTTTTGTTTTGAGATGGACTCTCCCTCTGTCACCCAGGCTGGAGTGCAGTGGCGTGATCTCGGTTCACTGCAACCTCTCCCTCCCGGGTTCAAGCGATTCTCCTGCCTCAGCCCCCTGAGTAGCTGGGATTACAGGCGCCTGCCACCATGCCCAGCAATTTTTGTATTTTTAGTAGAGATGGGGCTTCACCATGTTGGTCAGGCTGGTCTCAAACCCCTGACCTCCTGATCTGCCCGCCTTGGCCTCCCAAGGTGCTGGGATTACAGGTGTGAGCCACTGTGCCCAGCCAAGGTCAGTTTTAAGATTCTCTTTTGCAGATAAGGAAGCTCAGAGAGGTGACAAAACTTGTTTGCAGTTTTATGGGTCACCTGTGACTCTATGACCCCAAAGTTGGGGTTTTTCCCATTCCCAGGGCTGCTTCCTCCACCTCTAGCCCCAGGGGACTCTGTGCTGCTTGGCTTTGCCTATTGCTCAATCCAGCCATCCCAGGGTCAGGGATCAGGTGGAAGCTGGCAGTTTCAATCTATCCTGCGGATAAAGAGTTTGAAAGCAACAAAACCCACCACCATTAATACCAACATAGGAGCTGAGCTTTCAATGGCCCAATTTGCCTTAGTCTCCAGGCAAAGCTGGGTAAAGCTAGAGCTTCTGGCTTTGCCTATATGGAGAGGGGGGAGCAGTTACTGAGGCAGCTCAATTTTGACACCTCAGAGATGTGGCCAGCTTTCTGGAGCAGACTCTCCAGAATGGAGAATCGACTAGCAACTGCTGAAGATGGGCTTGTCTGGCAAGGGAAACTGGAAACGGGGGCCCATGAACATCCCCAGGGAAGGTGGGCCCAGTGGAATTTCCCACTCTTTGTTTCTAAGCTCTTTGAGATAAGGATGACATCAGGGACTCAGCTGTTCATTAAATGTGGGCAGGTGAGCGTATCTTCTAGAGGCTCCATGCTCTAGATGCTGGGGCCCAGGTGCTAGGGCAAAAGAGCAGGTAACTTCTAGAGGCTGAGAGAAAGGCCCGTCTCTCCATAAGCCACACTGGGAAGGGGAGGCACGGGGTCTGGGGCCTCACAGTAGGGGTGATACCCCAGGCCCAATCTCACCCTCACTGAGAACTTGGCCTTCATCGCCCCACTCCCCCAATGTTGTTTTTTCAGATGTGATGACTGCATTCTGCATTCCTGTGACTGTCCTTGCCTGCAGCCCAGCCCCAGCCCTGGTCTGGCCTTGACGCCTAGCTAATTTTTAAAAACCTGCCCCGAGGCTGGGTGAAACCCCATCATCCGAATGCCCAGTCTCAGAATGTTCACAATCAGGAGGTGATAATCATAATAATTAACTAGTTACATTAATTGATGTTATTCACAACATGAACTAGAATCTGTACAGCTCTTGCTATTTACAACATGCTGAAACACACACATACACACACACACACACACACACACACACACACCCCTTTTGGTCCTCTCAGTAGCTGCGTGTCGGCAGGACCAGGAATCTGGGATTTCCATTTTATAGGGGAAGAAAGTGAGGCCAAGGGAGGGAAAAACAACTGCTCCTTATCATTAGCCAAGTATGAGTTGCTGCTGCTAAGAGGGTCTGAGAGGATAGATATGTTCTCCCTTCGCTTTCATTCCTCCCTTCCTGCATCCATCCAGCATTTATTAAGCACCTACTGTGTGCCCCATTCTGTGCTAGACACTTATCCCTAAGCTGGGACACTTTTCCAGAAAGCAAGAATCCTTGTGTTCCTGAAAGATGAGTTGGGAGGAGGAGGGGCACAGATCCCGCTGGCCTTGGGGAACCTGGGACTCCAGATCAGTAGGTGTTGGTGGATGTCCCTTCTCAGGCTGTCCCGGGTGAGTGAGGAGCCTCATTTTTCTCTCATTAATTATTTCTTAAAAAAAAAAAAAAAATGAAGGAGCCTATGTGACTTCGTTCATTCTGCACAGGCGCTGCTCCTGGTGGGATGGCTGTGGCTGGGGGAGGGTGTGGGGGACGGGAGACGTCTACAGTTGGCCACAGCGTCCTAGGCAGGTCTTAGGCCGGGGCCACCTGGCTAGTCTCCGTCTTGGACACGGTGGCAGAGGCCTCATCGTCACCCAGCGGGTTCTTGCCGCAGCAGATGGTGGTGAGCATGCAGTTCCGGAACTGGAAGGCAAGAGGCTTGAGTCAGGGCCAGGGCTGCCCACAGTGTGCTTGGAACTGTCACGTTAGTGAGGTTTGCCCCAACCCTTTCCCTGCTTCTGCCCCTCACAGTTCCAGCACCCCGTCCACTCAAATCTGGCTTCCTGGAGGAAATTTGCTAAGCAGACACTCCTCACCCCTAGAGATGCCAGGGACCCAGCACGAGGGGGCTGTGTCGCCCATGGCATTTCATGGTGCCCTCTGTGTGCCAAGGGTGTTCTGTAAATTATCTCCTGTAATCTGAGAGTTTGGCGTTTTGCCCTTTCTATGGATGAGGAAACCAAAGCATAGAGAGGGGAATTGACTTGCCTGGGGTCACACAGTTAGAAAATGGCAGAGCTGACTTCAGAGACTGTTTACCCCAACTTCTGAGTTCCTTGGAGAGGAACCCTTTACCCTTTTATCCCTCAGAATAAGACTTTTTAGCTCCTTATTCAGCTTTATGGAGACTGGCCCATCCATTCCCCTCTTGGGACCTTCTGACTTTGACATTGGGCTTCCAGAACTATCTGGACTAGAGCTTCTCCCACCTCAGTGAGCATCTGAGCCACCTGTGGAGAGCTTGTTGGAAATGTAGGTTCCTAGGCCCTCCCTGAGATTCAGCAGATCTGGCTGGGGCCAGGAATCTGCATTTCTCACACACTCCCCATTGAGACTGCTGACCCAAGACTGCTGCCAGTAGCCCTGATGGAGCCCCCTCCCCTGCCCTGGGATGCAGTTTGTCCTTGGCAGGCAGTGCCTGTGGTCTGGGACACTGGGGCCCTCCCACCCGCAGTAGGCACCTGCTTGTTCATCATGATATAGATGACAGGGTTGTAGATGGCGGCGCTCTTGGCAAAGAACGCTGGGATGGTCATGAAGATGGGACCGAAGTTGGAGCCCTGGTGGGTGAAGATGTAGAATGCCACGCTGGCATAGGGCACCCAGCAGATCAGGAAAGCGATGACCATGATGATGACCATGCGAGTGACCTCCTTCTCTGCCTTCTGTGTGGTGGCTGACTCCTGCTGCTGGGCAGCGGCCTGTAAGACAAGGGACCCAGGTCCAGACCATGGCTCCTCCAGGGAGCAGGAGCCGCAGATACATGCTGGGGGCTGGACTGTCAGAGCCGTGAGGCTGCCCACTCCCCGGCCCGTACCTCCTTGACGGTGAAGACGAGCTGCCCGTAGCAGAAGAAGATGACAATCATGGGGATGGTGAAGTGGACCACAAACATGTAGATAACAAAGGACTCGTTGTTGACCTCTGGCTTGAGCGTGTAGTAGTCGATTCCGCACGAGCACTGCAAGCCCTCGGGGATGTATCTGAGGACGGGCAGATAGGGAGAACCCGCCTGTGAGGGACTTGGCCAAGGCGCCTGCTGAGCGCTGGCCCTTTCTGGGGCTTCACATTCCCTTCCTGGAAAGGGGGATCATAAGCGTCTGCATGGTTGGGTGACAGGATGGAATATGGATCAGATGGGGATGCAGACACACCTTGTGGAATCATTGTCGCTTCACTGGTGGCTGCGGTACCAGATGATACCACCCAGCCTCTCCCAGCATGCCCAGTCCCAGTATCCACTGCCCTCTGAGCCTAGGGTTATGCCAGGCAGAGGTTGGTGAGGAGGAGGGGAGGCTCTGTATTTGAGGCAGTTTGTATAAACTGAGGTCTTCCTAGCCCCAGGGCGAGAGTATTTTCCAGGTCAAAGATGGACACACAGGGTATCTAAGGGATCTTTGTGCAGCTTCTGGAAACAAGGTTTCCAGGGCACGTTGTTAGGATGTGGCAATGGTTCCTGATATTGGTGACAGTTGACTGGCCTCAGGAAACCCAGAGCGTCCAGAGGCTGTGCTTCCGGAGGATGGAACTAGACCAGATTGGAGAAGATGGGGAAAAAGTCCAGGGAGTGGACTCAAATTCAGCAAGGGGTAAGAAATGGACCCTAGCAAGACTGAGGAGGAAAAGGAAGTGAGAGTGGGAATTTTCTGGAGACAGAGGGACACGAGGCCTCAGGGGACCAGAGTCACCGGTCCTATTGTCCAAACCACTGTCCCCACTGTGTCTCATCTCAGCCCCATTTGGAGACAATCGCCTAGAGGCTGAATGGGACCCAGTTCCCAGGGGCCACAATATGGCCACCAGCACTAGGAAGGTGTGGCCTCCCCTGCTGCTGAGGCCCAAGGTTAGAGGGGGCTGCCCCCAGGGTACTAGACCAAAGAGGATTGGAATTTGCGCCTGGCTTAGTTGAGGATTAGGGGCACAGCCAAGGTGAAGGGTTGGGATGTCTTGGATTCTCTTTTACATAGAGCTCAGGAGATGGGACCAGTGCTTTTAGCAACATTAGAGTCTATTTCTTCTGCCCTACACCCCTACCCTGGGTGGGCATTTGGGCCAGGAGACATACAAGGTCAGTGCCTGGAACCAGACACTACTGGGTTTGAGTCCTGACTGGAGGACCCTACAAAGAACCCCTGGAGCCTCTTCCCTTCTGCTCAATGCCATTACCTGGACCAGCCGAAGAGGGGGGGTGCGGCGCAGGCCAGCGCCATGACCCAAGTGAAGGCAACGCCCATGATGGCATGGTTCTCCCCGAAGCGGAAGTTGCTCATGGGCTTACACACCACCACGTACCGTTCGATGGCCAGGACCACCAAGGACCACAGGGCGATTTCACCTGCAAGGCAGTCAGCAGGCTGTCAGCAGACCCCACTGCCTGTCTAAGGAGGGTGCACTCCCCCTAGATAGGGAGAGGGTAGCTAGGAAGGCAACCAGGAGTGGGAGAGGGACTTGAGGAGGCCTTGGGGAAGGAGAGAGCTTGGCACTAGGAGGAGCGGGAAGGGGCGGAGGGACCACATGCTGAGGAGAGCTGGGCAAAGAAGCTCCAGGGAATGGGGGAAGTTATTTGCTTAGTGCTCTGGGTCCATGAGGGACACGAATCAGATCAGGGGGTCACGACTGGACTGAGAACTCGGTAGGGAGTTGTGGGGTTTTTTTGTTTGTTTTTAACAGAAGAACGCATCCTAATGTGGGGCAGAGTTCTTTGTTGGGCAGGAATGCAGAGGTGGCGGAAACCCAGAATTGGCAGTCCTTCCTCCCTCTCTCTTCTCGGGAGATGAAACAACATGGGCAAGTGTGGCCCTCTCCTAGGAGCCATGAAGCAATGGGCAATGCTTTGCCCAGAGGAAGAAGAAGGAAATGATGAAATTGAGACATCTGCCCTGCTCACCACCCCATGAAGTTCCACAGGGAGAGTGGCCATATAGTTAATCAGCCAAACTGGGACATTCCTAACAGTGAAGGGGACAATAATTGTAAACTGGGACTGACCCTGCAGAGAACCACCATCCGTATGTGGCACACCACCTTCTGGCCAGAACTGGGTGATCTGTGATTATTGAATGTAACAAATACCCAACAATGCCAGAGATTCCCTGAGAATGGGACCGAGGAGGCAACCTGGACATGGGGGAGAGAGGGCAAGGCTGGCAGGGTAACGCTTGTGACTGGTGGTAAGCTCTCCTCGTCACCCAGCTTTGCAATGGCTGCCGCTAACATCTCCTCCATCTCAGCGGAGATATTCCTGGATCACAGCCAGGAGACCTAGGCTGTTGTTGCTGCCTGGCCACATCCCTAAATAAGTCTATTCCCTTCTCCCTGCCTCAGTTTTCCCCTCTGTTAAGTGGGATCTGTTATCCCTGCAGCACCCCCATCTGTTTTCCTGTTAAATGCAAGACATTATTCTAAAGCAAAAAGCAGCTGCTTCAGACGGGCTGCATGCAGTTCTCAACACCAGGAGCCTTGGAGCGCGGCACGGAGGCTAGAGGGGCACCCAGGGACAGGGGGCTGGTAGGGGAGGCAGAGGATGCCAAAGGGGACCGAGCCCATTACCCAGCACAGGGAAGACTCAATGACTGGAGAATGGAGAATCCACTTCCTACCCTGGGCTTGGGCCCCCAGAGAGGAGGGGTCTGGCTTGCCTAGCTCTCTCCTCAGTGCCCAGCCTGGGTCTGACCTGCTTTCCAAGGGAAACAGAGGCTTGGTGTTGCGAACACGGCCCAAGATGGATGCGGGCTTCAAACTCAACTCTGCCCCCATCCCATTGTGACCCCCAGCAGGGCACTTGACTTCTTTGAGCCTCAGCTCAGTTTTCTTGCTGTGAAACTAGGTAAGCGCATGTTGCTCCAGGTAAGATCAAGGTAGCGTTCAGTGCCAGCCCTGCACAAACAGCAGCCCGGCTATCACTGTGAATGGTGTTTGTTGACTGAATATATGAGGGCCTTGGGTAACGCTGACAGGAGAGGAGAAGGGAGAAGGCCTCTCAGCCACTACCGCCAAGCCCGGGACTGTCCCAGACCCCTCCATGCTCCCGGGCTCCTGCACGCCCCACCCGCACCCGGCTCATACCGCCCAGGGTGGCAAAGAAGCCCTCCGCATTGCATCCTGTGGGCCCGAAGACGAAGTATCCATGCAGAGATGTGTAGAGGGTGCTGGTGAAGCCACCGAAGACCATGAAGAGGTCGGCCACGGCTAGGTTGAGCAGGATGTAGTTGAGAGGCGTGCGCAGCTTCTTGTGCTGGACGGTGACGTAGAGCGTGAGGAAGTTGATGGGGAAGCCCAGCACGATCAGCAGGAACATGTAGGCGGCCAGCATGGAGAACTGCCATGGCTCGGCCAGGTAGTACTGCGGGTACTCGAAGGGGCTGCGCACCACGCCCGTCGCGTTGGAGAAGGGCACGTAGAAGTTAGGGCCTTCCGTGCCATTCATGGCTGTGGCCCTTGTGGCTGCCCCGCGTCTGCTCCCACCCAAGAATGTTGCAAAGGCCTGAGCTCAGCCACTCAGGGCCCCGACTGGATGACTCTGGGCTCTCACCCCCCCAGACCCTTATAAAGTGACCTCCCCCTCCTAAGCTCCTGGCTGAATCAGCATCTGGGAGATTGGGGGTGTTCATAATCATATTAATCCCGCTGCAGAAACTGAGGGCCTAATTGGCTTCCAAGAGGGGCCAAGGTGACACCAGGAGGAAGCCTGAGGTCAGGGAGGAGAGGTACTCAGGACCCTGGGAAAGGGAGAAGGCCCCTAACTTCTACATGGCTTGTCTGTCCCAAGGTCCCAGCTCAGTCTGGTGGCCTTGGTCTGAAATAGGGACCGTGGGTGTCTGTGCCATTTCCCTTGGCTTAGTACGAGCTGACTTCAGATCTTCGTCTGGACTGGACAGTGAGCTTCTGGACAGCGAGAGACTTTCTAGTTTATTCTCCCAGTCTCTCATCTCGTCACACAGCCCCTTACCTGTTCGTTCCCCCGCAAGTTACTTCTGGGCTCGTCCAGTCCCCACACTCCTCTGACAGGAGGAGCTCCATGAGGGCAGGGGCCGCATCCTGCAGCTTCTATTTCCAGTGCCAGACACATGGCCTGGGGCCCAGGAGCCCAATCATTGTTGCATGGAATTGGAATTCACTCTCTTGTTCGTTCATTAAACATTTATTTGCGGGCCCCTGGGAATACAAAGATGGAAAGAAACAGCCCTGCCCAGAGGAGCTCAGGGGCTGAGGACTCAGATATGGGAAGAAGCAGATTCCACCCAAGGTGTCTGTGAGGTGGAGACGGGGCCTGACTGCCTGGGGGATGCAGTCCAGGAGGCCACGTTTGGGCCTTTGAGAGAAGGAGCAGTTTGCCAGGTGGCTGGGTGGGGAAGACCTGAGCTGGGGGCAGTTGTGTGGGGAGCCTGGCTTTATCCAGAGGGAAGTGGGCAGTGGCTTGGGCAGATCACTGGGGTAGAAAGGTGACTCGGATGCCCCAAAGATGGAGTGGAGGGAGGGAGGATGGAGGGGGCTACCAGAGCAGGGAAGGGACAGAGCCCCTCAGGGGACTCCAGTCTGAAAGGGAGGCCAGCCCTGGAGGCAGCAGACAGGGCACTGTTGGGGGAGGTCTGGTCAGCCACGAGGGCCTCAAATGCCATGTGCCAGGTGGCCCCATGAGGGCCGATTCCAGAACAGCAGGATGTACTGTGAGAAAGAAAGTAGTCAGGAGCCTTGGGGGCAGATGGCTGGGGGCAAATGGAGGCCAACACTGGCAGGTCCCCCTCTCCCCGCTGTCCAAGGAACACGATGACACCTCCTAAGAATGAAGCGGGGTGTCCAGGGTGGCCTGTGCAGGTGCTGACAGTGCCTGAAGTGTGGCCGCTCAGGGACCACCATCCAGCCAACATGTGTATTGAGCACCTACTGTGGCCCAGACAAGGTGCGTTGTCCTGGGGGACACACAGGGGACATGAAAGAGCGAGCTCCTGCCCACAAGAAGCCATGTTTCTGTGGGGTGAGGGGGCACAGGGACCACAAACGAATAGTGGAGCGAAAAACAGCAGGGACAGTTCATTCGCAGCCACTCCCAACACAGGAGGCTTCTCTGAGAAGCTGGAGCTTAAGCCGAGAATGGAACACAGGAGGAAGCTTCAGGGGAAGGACATCCAGGCAGAAGGACCCCGGCGAGTGCAGAGCCCTGAGGCCAGGGAAACATCCCTTCATCTCTGTCATACCCAGTCTCTCCCACCCAGGATTCCCAGATCTGTCTGCTCAGAAGAGTGCCCCCTTCCCTGTAGCCCACTTGGGCTCCAGCCCCCTGCCTGGCCTGGGTGGTGTTGGGTGTAACAGGGTTTGGCACACGTGGCAGGACTAAGGCAGGGCGGGTGGGATGGGGCCTCTTGTAGTTTAAGGCGCTTGGCCTGGTGATTATGCCCAACGCTAATGAGGTTAAGGTGGGGGGTTTGATTCTGACGTGGACCCTTATGGCCAGAAGGAGGGTGTCCTGGATGCCTTGGGTCAAGGCTGACCCACACCCAGCCCCTCCCTGGCCGGGCTGAGCCCCCACCCCACACAGCTTAGCAGTACCCCAGCACCTTGCTTGTTGCCTAGTGCTTCTGGCAGCACGGAAGCTTTTTATTTGTGTTTCGTGCTCGTCTCCCTGCCTGTAATGTGAGTCCACAAGGGCGGGCCTAGGTCTATCTTGCTCACAACAGGGTTCCCAGAGCCCAGCATGGTGCTTGGCCTGTGGTGGAAAGAGGTGGGATTATGTCTGTTTTGTTCATTGATGTGTCTCCAGGGCCTGGCACCTCGAAGGTGCTCCTGAATATTTCTTGAATGAATGAGTGGGGGAATGAATGAATGAAGTCCCCCTAGATGATCTCAGTACTTCCCCTCTCTGTCTCAGGTTCCTCCTTTGTGGGTTTCACAATTGCAACCTCATGGAACCCTGGTAATGGGGAACTAACAGCCATCACTGAGGTGACAGTGCTCTTTATTCTGTAAAGCTTGACAAAGAAAAAATTTTTTTGAGACAAGGTCTCTGTCACCCAGGCCGGAGTGCAGTGTCACAATCATAGCTCACTGCAGCCTCTGCCTCCTGGGCTCAAGCGATTCTCTCACCTCAGCTTCCTGAGTAGCTGGGACCACAAGTGCACACCACTAATTTTTGTATTTTTTGTAGGGGTGGAGTCTTGCTATGTTGCCCAGGCTAGTCTTGAACTCCTGGCTCAAGCGATCCACTCTCCTCGGCCTCCCGAAGTGCCAGGATTATAGGCATGAATCACCGTGTCCGGCCCAAGAAATATTTTTTAAACAAAAAATGCTCTTTGTTCAGGACAACAGACTCATAGTGAGGTGGAAGGGTCATTCGAAGTCACCTACTCTGACCATCTCTGCTACATCCATTTTGCAGATGAAAAGACTGAGGACTAGCTCTGCAGAGTAGATCAGGTCCCGTTACAAATCAGTGGCAGCCTGCGTTATAACCTACACAGTCAACTGGGCTCCATGGGTATCAGCTTCCCAAACCGTGCTATGCCTCCCTCCCCTCATCAAAGACAGCTCTCAGGAAGGACCAGCCAGCCATTCACACCATGGTATAAATGACTAAAGAAAGGTTTAGCTGGGGTAATGGAAAGGCCCTAGACTGAGTCACACAGGCCTGGGGCGGGGCAGCGGAAGCCTCTAGGAGAGGAGGCTGGATTCTAGCTGGTCTTTGAGTCACCACGGTAGTACTGCTTCCTTCCCCACTCTGGGCCTCAGTTTGCTGAGACAAGGAAACCTCAGTGTGGGGCGCGTGCACATCCACCTATACAGTAAACCTCACCTGCTTTCCCCATGAGAGCCTGGTTCGTGAATCTTTAGACCCTACAGCCTTGGTTTCACTGTTCTCCCTCATTGGGCAAGGCTCTTTTCCATCCACCCTTACATCTGGACTAAGGCTACACAGCCTGGGTGCAGCCAGCTCCTCCGCCCTCCCGAGAGTGTGCTTCGGTTCTCCACTCTGTAAAATGGGAATGATAATAGTGCTTACCTAATAGGATTATTGGGAGTGCTTGTAAGTGATCAATATGTTTGCTGATGACAGTATTAATCTCTTCCTAAGTCTCCTTCAGGTCTCTGCTCACTCATGTCCTTGGGCCTGACCATCCTACACACCAGGCACCCCCACCAGGTTTAGTCGTTGTTTTGAGACAGGGTCTTGCTCTGTCACCCAAGCTGGAGTGCAATGGTGCGATCTTGGTTCACTGCAACCTCCTCCTCCTGGATTCAAGCAATTCTCCTGCCTTAGCCTCCCAAGTACCCAGGACTACAGGTGCGTGGTGCCACACCTGGCTAATTTTTATATTTTTAGTAGACGGGATTTTGCCAGGTTAGCCAGGCTGGTCTCTAACTCCTGATCTCAAGAGATCCATCTGCCTCGGCCTCCCAAAGTGCTGGGGTTACAGGCGTGAGCCACCACATTTGGCCTATTGTTTTTTGAGACAGGGTATCGCTCTGTCACTCAGGTTGGAGTGCAGTGGCACGATCATGGCTCACTGCAGCCTCAACCTCCTGGGCTCCAGCGATCCACCATCTCAACCCCTGAGTAGCTGGGACCATTGGTGTGTGCCACCATGCCTGGCTAATTTATTTTCATTTTTGTAGAGATGGGATCTCCCTATATTGTCCAAGCTGGTCTCTAATTCCCAGGCTCAAGTGATCCTCCTGCCTTGGGAGCCACTTGGGAGGCTGTAATCTCAGCCTCCCAAAGTGCTGAGATTACAGGTGTGAGTGACCACACCCAGCCATGTTCAGTTTTTAAACAGTCATCACCATCAGCAACTATCTCATTCATCTTCTTAAAGCAATTTTTAAATGTTTTTTAGAGATGAGTCTTGCTCTGTTGCCCAGGCTGGAGTGCAGTGGTGCAATCATAGCTTACTGCAGCCTTGAATTCCTGTCCTAGGCTCAAGTGATCCTCCTCAGCCTTCCAAGTAACTGGGTCTACAGGCATGCCACCACACCTGGCCTCATTTGTCTTCTTATTGACTGACTTCCCATCTCTTTCTAGAATGCAGGACCAGCCTGGCCTGTTCATCGTTGCCTCTGAGCTCACAACCAACAGGGGGTGTTCAATAAACATTTGTCGAATGAATGAACAACTCCTCCTGCCCCCTGTGAGGAGGGTCTAACTCCCCACTGACCACTGAGGAATCTGGGCCACGCAGGGTCAAAGTTCCTCTGCAGAGCTGGGATTTGAACACAGGCCTGGCCAGCACCCACACTTTGTGTCGGGCAGTCCAGAGAAACCCATGGTGTGGGTGTTGGCCAAGCTGGTGTGTGTAGGGCTTCCTGAGCTAAGATGTCTGGATGCAGCCATCTTGGGGCACCCGAGTCCCAGCCCTCAGGAGCCCGGCTTTGCCTCTGCCTTGGAGGATTAGGGGCTTAGCTTGCAGGGCACAACTCGCTCTTCAGCCTCTGCAAAAGAGGAGCTGCTGTGAGAGGAGCCGCTAGGTCAGCATCCTTCTCCTCCTCCTCCTCCTCCTCCTCCTCCTCCTCCTCCTCCTCCGCCTCCGCCTCCTCCTCCTCCTCTTCCTCTTCCTCCTCCTCCGCCTCCTCCTCCTCCTCTTCCTTGGCTTTCTTTCTCCTGGTCCCCTACATGGCTCAGCCCCACCTGGCTGCATCACCAAGGCTACGTGAGGCCTTCAACGGCACTGAGAGCATCAAGGGGGAATAAAGGAGGGGGAAA